ACCTCATCGTTCTGTTGAGAGCTGATTTGGTAGAGATCAGGTAATTTTCGTTAGAAAAGAAAACGCCACAAGTTTTCCGAGTTGTTCGGTAACAAATTTAAGAATTTAAGTTATCAATCACGTTAAGTGAGACTAGGGATGGTTAAGAAATAAAAAATTTACTCCCTGATTCCTTGGATCATTTTGTAGTTGATTTAATTTAAATTGTCTTTTAAGCTGGTGGAAACCCTCTATTTTCGAAAGAATGCTTTCTCATACCATTTCCGATCATTATCAATATTGTAATATTTTATTAACTTATGGAAAAATGGGGTTTGGCTTTTAAACAGGTGACCAAAATCTTTTCAAATAAGGCTTGCTTAATCTTCATTCGTTTGCCACCTTTCTGTAATTGTACTTCATTTAACTTACTAATAAAATTAAATTAAAATTTTTAAATAGGTGTCAATCCTCTTAAAAATTTGTTTGTACTAAAATATTTGTAAACCTCTTTTTCTTTTGGCATCCATATTATAAAATTTCGCTGAACTAATAATATAAAATAAAACCTTACTTTTTAAGCAGGTGACAACCCTCTTCAAAAAACATGCTATATATTAATCCAGCTCACAAGCTATTTGTATGCTACTTTTGGTAGACAGAAAGAGCCACGAACATATTCATACTCTCACTCATAATCCTTATAATATTAGTACGATTTGTTTTTACCGTGCCAATTTAATTGATTTAAATTCCTATGTTGGCCTTATCGAAAATATTTTCAAAATAAACACAGTTTTCTTAAACATCTCTCGCTTAACTTGTTAATTAAATTGATTTTCCATTTCCAAACAGATGGCAGCCTTCTTTAAAAACATTTTTCAAATAAAGCTTTCGTATGTCTCTCACAATATTTCATTTAACTTGTAGTTAAACTGATTTTCCCCTTTTGAACACTTGATAACCTTCTTAAAGCTTATTTTAATATTTATTGATTTCAAGCAATTGGCAACTCTCTTATCTACATACTAATCGCTTTACTTGCATTGAATTTACTAATAAGAACCCATTAATTCATATTTCAGCATAAGCAATATCAGAAACAACAAGACGCCGGATGCTTTTGACCAGGGCACGCAGCATGAAAAGTTTCATCCTACAACCCATAATATTCCAATATCCGCAAAGCTAACAAAAGTAGCACGCTAAGTAAGCGACACCCAATTTGGTTGCTAAGTGTCAGCTATGAAATATTTGGCAATAATAATAATAATAATAACAGCTACAACAACTACTTATAAACTGAAAAACACTGCACCCCACTGCACAAGCAAAGTGGTAGCATCGGAGTTGAGTTTTTACTTATTCAATACCTACTTACCTACAAAGTTTTCCCTATGCATGTGCATTAGAGTGGTCCAAAACTGCATGTGGAAAAGTAAAGTCGGAACTTTAATGCCGCCACCCCCTAAGATTGTTATATACCTAAAAAAATATACCCCTATTTTTTATTAAAAAAACAAAAAATAGGCAGTGCTCAAAGCGCTCAAAGTTTTTCATGTATTGTATTTATTGTATTATCATATTGTATTGTCATATGGGGAAAAAACAACTTTTCATAGAATTAGTGTAGAATTCTTGAAAATGCAATGGGCCCCCAATAAAAAATCTTTAATATTAAAAAATGGTTAAATTAACAATTGGGTATTAATACTGGAAGTCTCCTGAAGACAACCACAGTTTTCCGTTCGAGAAAAATAGGTTTTCAAGAATTTTATACCATTTCTACGAAAAGTGGTTTTTTCTCCATATAAAATACATGGAAAACTTTGAGTCCTTTCAGCACTCCCTAAATATTTTTTGATTTAAAAATAAAAAATTAGAGGTATATTTTTTCGGTATGGAACAATCCAAGGGGGTGGCGGCATTAAAATTCCGATTTTATTTTTTTCGACCACTCTAATGTGCATATGTAAGCACGAGTATGTATATGGGAAATTTTATGCTCAACTGCATATCCCGCTGGTGTTGCAAATTGAATGTCGCACTCTCACTGCGCCCTGAATGTGCATTTTGAGCATTGAAGCGTTGCTTATTGGGGCGCCTTGTTGCCAGTAGCTTGTAAACAATTTATGAGTTTCCTTTCGCGAATGTGCTTTCGGCGTTATTGCAGTGGCGCGGCGTCATTAACAACAACAGTTACAAAAGTTGAAAGGCCACAATACCGCTTACTGGTTTGTCGCGTTGTAAAACAGCTTGTAAAATAGTTTTGAGGTGTAAATATGTATAGATTATATAAATAAATTTATCTACAATGTATGTACAATGTACATTCTCCATGTTGGAGACATGCTCATATGCCATTTTATATGCAGCTGCAAGTGTTACAGAATATATTCTACTTTTAATAAACTTTGAATTTTACTATGACTGGTTACTTGATTATAAATCCAATAAAATGTTTGATGGTTTTAAGCCGATACGTTTAAGCCTGAATTTTCCGGGTAAATGTGTGGAATAAGTACATACTTATATTGTTTAGAAAAAAGAAAAAAGTTATTTACGAGAACTTACGATAAACTCATCATCTCCTCCTTGGTTATGGTTGAGCAACTACATATGTTTGTGCATGTACACTGGCGATCAAAAGTGAGCACATGGTGATTCTTCTTGAATATTTTCAATGTTTTTCAAGTTAACATTTTTTTGGTATTTTTTATAAAAATATGGTTCATGCTTTAACCATTATCACATAAGACAAACTTTCACACTTTTCAGATAATTCGGAAAAATTCCACAACTTTTCATCAAACTTTTGAACTTTTTAATCTGAATGAAAATTTATAATTTAAAAATCGTGTTGATTTTTAGATAATTCTTTTTTTTTTACAAATTGTTTTATTGTCGTAAGTTGTGTATATATAAATTATAAGGCATTATTCCAGCAAAATCGTCTGGCTAAGAAACACTCGCTGAATTTAAATAAATAATAGTACTTAGTATAGACTTTTCAATTTGAAGATCTACTGAGTGGTTCAAGTCGTACCAATATTTGTGGTAGATAAAATATTTCCTACCCAAATGAGGTATTATACTTTTATACAGGATAATCTCTCGCTTGGAAAAACAAAGCTATAGCATTTGATATAATTCGAATGTCACTATTATCCTGTATGGTATTATATTAGTTAAGGGTCTACTATTTCACGATCTGGAAGTTTTTAGGACCGAACAGCCTGATGAAAATATAAAATTATTCTAAAAATATATTGAAACAGTTACACAAAGTTCACAATTTAAAAAAAAAACCGATTTAAAGTCAAGCTGTAATAAAAAGGTCCGTTTTTTTCTATATATTTGATGGCAAAATTTTTTTTATTTGGGTTCTTTTACTAATTTTTAAGCATGGCAGCAAGAACTCATATAAATAGAGAACTTTTCCATTATATGTAGGTGAATGGCGGGTTCGTGGCGGGAGCGAAAGATGCGGCTGTAATCACACGCTGGCCGCAAAAAATTGTCCAAAGATATGTATTAGAAATCGAGTGATATCAATTAATATTTCGCCGGAAGCGTCAGCTAGTGGTTGCATTTTTTTAGCTATATGTATTTCTTATTACATACAGTGGCAAACAAAAGTATTTGCAAAGAGAATTTTTCGCAATACATGCAAAGTTTTTTATTCTAGTTTCTTTTCGTCAATTTATTATAAAAAATAAAGTTCGTATTACACGAAAAAGCATAAAAATAAAATCTCTAAACTTCGTGCAAAATTCAGAAAAATTCAGCAAATTTTCGTACTAATTTGCAACCTTCTATTAGCTATTAAGTATGCCATTTTATAGCCCTTTATACTTAGTATAAAAAGTGCAAGTTTGGAGTTGCCAGAAAACCGCGTTGATTTTGGCAATTTTTCCCCACAGTTTCTTCCATACAAACTTTTTTCGACAATTTCTTTTGTATGGAAGAACATAATAACACCGTATGCAAAAAAAAATATCCTTTAAAACCATTTTTATGCAGTAAATTCCAAGTACATAACGCAAAAATAAAAATTTATAGAGTCGAAATTGTGGCTGCTATTATTTTCCTTTGCCTAAATAACCCAAATTACGCACTTTGTCACGGCATCGTTGTGGGGTCTTAACAAGAAACGAGCTTTAGAACTTTCTCGTTTCCTGCAAAAGTTGGCAGAATGAAAAAGAGGAGGAACCGGCCCACCACTTCCCGTGCTAGTGCCTATCTCTCCAGGCAAAGAGATTCAAGTAGTTTGGATCTTCCTTTTTCATTAGATTGACAGAGAAGAAAACGGAAGTGAAACTATCGAACCTTCTCAATTTCATCTGGAACAGTAAATGGCTTCACAATTGGCAAATATGCCTTCAAGGGGACGTATGGGGAGATGATGCCCGGCTTCCTAACATAACCTATGTAGCCTAATGCAGAAGCAAGTCCTGAGGTGTTCAGTAGGAGATTTAGATGGGCTAAAGCCCAACACTTACGCGACTAGTTTTGGGCGTTCTATTCATTCTCTTCTCCAATAAAGATTCAGCGAATGAGCTGCCTTTTTTTGATGCTTCCGGTACAAAACCACTTTTTTAATAATTTTTAATTTCCCTTTAGTATTTATGCACATACTCGCACAGCTATTAATATGTTCCCGCAAATTATCTTACTTGCTAGGCAATAAACAATCGGTAAGAGATAATGTGTATGAGTCAAAGGTATATTATCTAATCACACGAGCTCGAAAAAACAGCAATAATTAGTATTTAAACAACGCAAATATCATTCCTGTTATTGATTTGTTTATCACTTAATCTTCACATTAATTAATTACTGTTATTTTGCTCATTTTGTGTTGTTAGCGAAAATATACCAGAGCTTATCAATGCACTTACAAATTTTTTTATCCAGCATAGAACGTATTTAAGGCCTTGTATTTGCCAACGAAAAAGCACAGTCTCCGAATTTGTACACTCAGAAGATCATGAAAACTGCAATTGTTCTCACATTTCTAGCTCTGGCTTGTGTAGCCAATGCTAACTCTATCGGTTTGGCCGGTCTAACAGGACCATCATTCAATGTTGCCCACCCCAAACGGCAGCCGCAGCCCGAAGCTCAACCTCAACCTAGCCCAGAGCAACTACCTGAGGAAGAGGATAATGTAAAACGGGAGCAAAAACGGGAACTCGATCTCATTGCCCAAGCTATTTTGAATCGTTTGCGTCCAAGGCCACAGGAAAAACCCGAGCACGAACCCGAACCGGAGCCTAAGCAGGAGCCTGTTAGCAATCCATGGCAAAGTCGCCCAAATAGCCAGCCAAAACCGGCGCCAGAACCAGAACCAGAAACACAAGTGGATTCAGAGCTAGAAGCTGTCCGCAATCCATGGCAAAACCGTCCTCAAGGCCATCTAAAACCTCAACCACAACCAGAACCAGAACCAGAGCAACAATCCGAACAAGAGCCTGGACGCAATTTATGGCAGAGTCGTCCACATAGGCAGCCGAAACCGGAACCACAACCAGAAGCTGAGTCAGTCGCCGAAGCTGTACGCAATCCATGGCAGAATCGTCCACAGAGACAACCAAAACCTGAATTGGAGCCTCAGCCAGCGGCGGAGCAAGAGTCCGAAGAATCCGTACGAGAATCATGGCTACATCATCTTGCTTTTGTACCACATCTTCCACATAGACAACCAAGACCAGAGCAAAAAGAAGAAGACGAACCTTTAGCTGAGTCCGTCAATGCTGGAGGTAAAGGAAATACTTATTTGCAAGCAAACGCGAAGCCAAGCCCATACTTTATTGTGCCAAACTTTCATAAATACCTACATTCCTCAGAGTATTAAAATATAACTGTGTAACTCTTTTTAACTTTTTCAAAAATTACAAAAAAATATAAAAAATTCTGTGCGTTCTTTCAATATACATATATGTATTTGTTTAATTGTTGACCATTTAAAGATTTTAAAAAAATAAGCTTATTTACACAAACTTAGCACGAATTAAGAAAGTATGGATATAGAATTGCATTTACTGACGCAAAATTTTTATTGCACCCATCGTGAGTGATGGCCAGCGCTTCAAAGATAGTCTGCATTGTAGCTACTTGAGATTTGTCCTAAGCTTGTGAGAATAAGAAGAGAGACAGGGTCTGTTTCATTCATTTCCGAAGCACCTTTAAATTCTGGGACTAAGATTGCTAACGACACATCGAAAATACCTGTCCAAATTTGAAACTTTATTTCTTCAAGAAAATTTACAGCAACAGCAAAGCACTTTTCCATGCAACAGAAATAATGAAGAATATTTCTTGTGATTTTTCTTGAGATCTGCCGACAGCGCTTTAAAATAATGAAATCATAGCTGATGGACCTGTTAATTTACCTGTTGCTTCGGCAAAAATCGAAATTGATTTTCCAAGTAGATTTGTTAAGGACGAAATGAACAAATTATTTTAAGACCGCCATAACTTAATCACATATAAAGTCTATATATAAATACGCTAGCAGGAATTTTGGCCATCTACAGAACCGATTTCAAAACCGAGGCATTCTTTTGTAGATGTGGAGAAATTTCTTGGTTTCAAAATTGGTTGAAAATTACGACAAAAATGTTCCCTTAAAATTTCCATATTTGTTTACAGTTTTTTTGTAACCTGTTAAATTCGAGTGGTCCTTAGCTGTGCGTTTCTTAGGCTTCTTTTTCAGATAGACAATAAAAGGCTATATCTGTTTTGCCTGAGAATGCTTCATTTCTATATTTTTAATAGTGATTTCAAGGCTGTTATTGTTTAATTAATATCAAAAATGCTAACGCCAACTGCAAATCTAATGAAAACGGCCAACGTTTTCACTGTCTGCACAAAATATGCTGATTAATTGTTTCCATGCAATAGTAGTTACAGCTGACCTTGATGTCGCTATCACCATTTCCATTAAATCTAGCGAAAGGTGTACATCAGCCCATCACACAAGCACCCAATTTGAAGAACCCAAAAATTAATTAGGAGCCTGTCAATCGTTTTAAAGTCAACGACACATCCTTGAACAGTGATTTATGTAACAGCGTATGCGTACATACATACATATGTCTGTTATCATCACCAAGTTATACAATGCGAGTTTGATTGAGTGCTTGTATGTATATATGCTTGAGTTTTCGGAGAAATCAGTATAACCCCAAGCAGTTGGTAAAACTGATGTGCTGATGGAGTTGGCTTTTACACGCATGTGTGGCTGTTGGAGTACCCGTGCAGTCATATCCATTAGCAATTCCCTACAATGGGAAAACAAGCATGTGTAAGCTCTGGCAAGCTATGGGTATGCACGTGTACATATATGTATATAGGTACATATACCATTTGTAAAAATTCATACATTAGGGGTGCTTTTATTTTTATAAATTTATTTTCATTTTGTTCATTGGATTGCCAATGTCATCTTTTGATGTGAGAAAATTAGGTTTTTTTGTATTATAATATTTATGAATGGAGTATTTGTAAAATTCTAGGCATTATATTTTTATACATACACACATATGTATGTATGTCTTGCTCATAACTAAATGCTAATTTAAATTTTTAATGTCCTTTATATTAATGTACTGTTTTGTCATTTTCAATACATTTGCTTGGTGAATTAACACTTGTTAACATGAATAAATAAATTTGTTACTCATACGCTATGTTGAACAAATACTGACATACATAGCTTATTACATTAAACGAGCAATTCTTGTATATATGTATATACATTAGACTGCATCACTCCCCATACAAAAAAAAATCGGTACTAGTTTTCCATTGGAATTATAAAATCTATTATATTTTAAGAAGTCCACCAAAATATTTCCAAAAAAATATTAAGATTAAAGTGAGCTGGACCAATTTCAAAATACCTCCAAAAATGGAGTTTTTTATGAATAAAAATAGTTTCTTAAATTTTTTTTTTGAAAAAATCCCCTCAAATGGCAAAACGGTTTAAGCTTAAAAAATTTGCATAAAAATATTTAAAAAAAAAAATTTAAAAAAAATTTGAACGGAATCGTAATGATGAGATTTTTGATGCTGTTTTTTAACTTTTTTCAAAGATTGGTATAAGAAAAACTTGAATAACTGAGCCTAAACTCTTCTGATTTAGACTTAAGAGGTGTCGGTGGAAAGGCACCCTTTTTATTTCTTTGCTAATAAACTCATTCAAAGGATGAAAGAGAAAGGTAGGATGAACGAACGTCATTCAAAGTTGAATTAAGATGTGTTGGTATTTGAAAAAAAAAAATGCGATACGAAAGATTTTTTTTTGGACAGAAATAAAAACAGTGTGAAAATACCTCTCTACCGAGAACCCATAAGTCTAAATCAGAATAGTTTTGGCCCTGTTATTCAAGTTTTTCTTAAATCAATCTTTGAAAAAAGTAAAAAAACAGCATTAAAAATCTCATTCTTACGATTCCGTTGAAAAGATTTTAAAATATTTGTATGCAGATTTTTTAACCTTAATCTGTTTTGTCATCTGAGGGGACTTTTTTCAAAAATTTATTTACGAAACTATTTTTATTCATAAAACACTCCATTTACCACTTAAATCTTAATATTTTTCCCAAATATTTTGGTGAACGTCTTAAAATATAATAAATTTTGTAATCCCGCCGGAAAAACCGCAACTTTTTTTGGTAATGCAGTCTAATATACATATATCCAAAGGGTTCTCGGAAACGGCTCTAACGATTTTGATGAAATTTTGTACACAGATAATGTGTTGGATTCTAGGGTTACCTCCGAGAAGACTCGTATAAGCTAGCCACCTATTCGAAATTAGTTATATGGGTACCAAATTGAAGGTATTTTAAAGATCCCTAATTCAAAAATATTTTTAATAGGGTTGCCATTTATTTTGAATCACATATTTATTTAATTTTTTATTTAGAAAGAGGTAAAATAATACTGTTCATGGGTACCAGGAAGAGGTTCTTAGACAATGCAAAATGTAATCGCTTAGGATAATAGTGTAAGGTTCTACGATTCTACACAATTTATCTAAACCATCGCAAAATGGATATCAAATGAAAGGTATTGTTGAAAACTTTGGCCAAAAAATATTTTCCATCAGGGTTGCCACGTTTCTATGTAATAAAATTTTTTATTTTGTTAATTTCAATCAGCAGTTGTTTATGTAGACATATCCGCTCAAGATATATACCTTTGATTCTAGCGTATTTCGGAATAGGGATGCCACCTAAATTTTGAAGTAAGAAATTTACTTAATAGATAACGAGATTCAATTTTATTTTTTTTTTAATTTCCAAAATATTTTTTTTAAGTTTTTTTTTAACTTTAAAAAGTTTATGCACTCCGGGCAAAGCTCGGTCACCCTGGTACTGTTTTACTAATTCGAAAAAATTTTTTATACAATTCGTATGTTTGGGTTCTTTTGGTGTCTTGCATTTAATTTTCAGCTTTTTTGCTTATTTAAAATACATATACCACATTCAACTTTATTCTCAGAAATACAGTGTGCGTAAACTTCATCTGGCCGCTACTGTATACATATGTATGTATGTAGAAGAAGAAAAAATTTTGTTTCGAACAATTAAGAACATCAATATTATTTTCTTGTTAACCAACGACAATTCCGAAAACTGGTTGATATGATTTTTGCAGTGATGGATTGCACATGAAGCAGGTAAAATTGAAAAATTAAAATTACAGATAAGACAATTGACAAGACAATGAAAGGAAATTTATCAAAGAACTGAAAATGCAAATCAAGTGACGAGGTCATATGGACGATTATATATAGCTTTTAATATGCAGTAAGTTCTTACCCATGGATGCATGTACATTAGGGTGGTCCTTAAAAAATCAAATTATCGGTCACGGATATCACTTATAAATTTTTGTCCCGATTGGAAACGCTTAAGGCGTATCCCGAAGGGGTCAAAGGTCAGATGCCTCTATGGAGACTCAAAAAATTAAAAAACGTCAAATTCCACTTGAATTAAGGAAATTCGGTATTTGAAATATGTATTAAGCGTATCAGATGAAAGTGCTTTGGGTTTTAGTTTGAAAATATTTATTTGAAAAGTCAAATTCAATTTTAAATAAGCAATTAGTTAATTGAAATATATATCTTAATATGGGTTTCGCACAAAAGAGGTTTAAGAAGGTTTTAGTTTAGAAATATTTCGAAGACAGTTTGCACCTGTTTGAAAAGTCGAATTTAATAAATTATACACAAGAAATTTATATGAAAAATTAAAATATATGGGGTCGACCGAAAGAGTGTTAAGTAATCTTTGGTTCGAACATTTTGACATTTTTTAAGTTATTTGAAGAGTATTGCCACCTGTTTAAAAATTAAATTATATTAAAGTTATTTAAAGAGTTAAATGAGTTATTGCAATATTGGTATCAATCGAAATGATGTTGAAAAACATTATTTCTAAACTACACGTAAGAGGGTTGCCACCTGTTTAAAACATTAAATTCAACTTTAATTAAAATAATAATGTAATTTAAATATTTATAACAGTACAGGTGTCAGATGAAAGAGGCTAAATAAGATTTTAGTTTGAACGGGGTTTAATTGAATTATATAAAATATTAATTTATGGGTGATAAATTAAAGAGTGTTAAAAAATAAATAAACAAATTTGACGGGTACTCGTATTTCATTGAATGAAGCACAATGTTTATACTAAAATGCATGAAAAGTAACACCGATTTTTTTATAAAAAACTTTCTTTCATTGAAATAATATCTTAGTAAATTTTTGTCACTTTCAATATTCAATGCATTTTCGGTGCACATTCAGCTATGTACAAAATTTTAGTAAAGTAGGTTTATTGCAGTATTATATTTTAGAACAAGCATTTTTCTTTGAAATTTAAAGGACTCCTAGTGCTGCTACCTAACTCTAACCACTAGGCAATGGTAGTAATTCTTCGCTAAGTAATCAAGTCTTAAATTTCACTTTAACTTATCCATCACCACTACGCTTCCTTATTCTCAACTGAAAGCCAGGCGCAAAATAGTTACAACAAATAAAGCATTGAAAAGCTAAAAGTCAAACTGAACAATGCAATTGCACGCAGTGAATTGTACGCACATACATACATACACATGTATGCAGCATTTCTTTTCATTGTTAAAACGCATTGTAATTTGTTTTGAGTTACTATGACTGCCGACAATTAAAATTCACACAATTTCACTCGGCACGTGTAACAAATGGTAAAGAAAACTATCAGAAAGCAAAAATGAATAAAAAGAAGAAAAAAACAAACAAAATCAAAAGTTGTTGCTGTTTTCTTGCTATAGTTTCTTTTTTGCCATCGTCGAAAACAATACCGTATTGTGCCAAAGCTTGTTCCGCTTGTAAATTCGCATTTGAGTGCACCTGTATTTGGCTACGCAGTTCTTTTTTTTTAACTACCCATACATATGTACATATGTATATGACTTTTTGCAGAGCTGCCAACACACAAGGTAAGTAAACAAGCATTCACACACACACTCACACACAAGCACATCAAAAAAAAAAATCTGAGCAACTACTATTCGTACACGAAGCAGCGTAGTAGTTCCGGTTTGTTTTCATGCTTTTGATCCTGCGCTTATTTGCATTCATACTCGTGCGCAAACGCATTGTGCTTGAAATCTTTTGAATGCCAAGAGGAAACAAGTGCAAAGCCAAAGCAAATAAACAAGCAAATAGCTTTCGTGAAAAGAGTTACTAGTATTTCACCTACAACAATGGAAATGCCAAAACAATGGAGAGAAGAGAAAATAATAAGGAAATATTTTTTCAAGCAAGGAATTGAGCTATTTGCATATTGTGGAAGAGGGTGACGTTCTGTAAGTGGACGTGAGCATGTGTAGCTTGTTTTTGTTTTAAGGGATTAGATGTTTTTCAGGTTACCTATTGTCAATCTAAGATTTCTGGTACTTATTATGAGGTATTTAATTGACAAGCAGCAGATATGTATTTTTTTATCAGCGTCACAAAT